TTGGAATAAATTAGGCCATAATTTTATAAGTTTTACATAAAATTCTGCCTTTTTGGTGTCATTACCTTTAGAAAAAGATTTTCTACTATTTCAGAAGATAATTTAAAAAAAAAAATGTAACACTGACAGGAATTTAATTTCAGGGTCACAAAAGTGTAAGGGTCAAGAAGGCAAGGAAGGAAGGGCAAATATGGGGAACAAGTATTTTCCAAGGTGGGAGTGAGAAAAAATAGTATAGTAAAGCAAAAAAGGGAATCCAAAATGAATCAAGGGCAGAGAATAACTTGCTGAAACAAGGAGGCATGTTTTAGGAAATAATCAAACTTGGGTTGAGGAATTTTGAGGCCTGTCAAGTTGTAATAGGGATCCATAGAGAGTGAGTTGGCAATGAGGAAAGAAAGTGCACCTTATAAAAATGTATTTAGTATAGAGAATGTATTTAGTACAGAGAATCTAAAGCCCTGTACCGAGGTCCAATGGGAAACACTGTCAATAGCTAATTGTACCGAAGTTGCTACCAGATAAGTATCTATATCAGCCAGAGACACGGGAAACAACAAAACAGCTTGCACATGCAATCCCAACAGCAATAAAATAATAAATACCATTACTCACAATAAATATATTAAAAAAAATTGTATTAAATGTCCAAGGTACCAACAGGTATCTTGTAATTGCAAAAACCACAACAAAGACTGACTGACCAAAATTGTGAGCAAACAGTTAAAGCATGTGCCACCCTGAGTAACACACCAACTGCACAGAGAATAATCACCTAAGGCAATTTCTGGGGAAAAAGGGCCATACCCCACCCCCCTTTATACCCATGTTGCTGAACATTCAGAGTATGCTGCTTGTCTGTAAGGCCTACTTTGCCAGATGGGTAAAGTCCTGGGTAGAGTACTTTGCCAGCTGTGTAAATCATTAGCATTACTGACACTGAACAGAGTAGCAAGCAGTTCTGAGACTGTCAACCAATGTTCTGCAAAATACACTGTAATAGGGAAAGAATGGCAAAGATAATTTTGGCCATGTTATTAGGATATTTATTATCACATGTAGATGGGGATGGGAGAGGGGTGGGATTAAATTATGGGGAATCAAATAAAATATGGGAATTGACACAGTTACTTTTTGCTGATGATACTGTGCTTATGGGAGATTCTAAAGAAAAATTGCAAAGGTTAGTGGACAAGTTTGGGAGTGTGTGTAAAGGTAGAAAGTTGAAAGTGAACATAGAAAAGAGTAAGGTGATGAGGGTATCAAATGATTTAGATAAAGAAAAATTGGATATCAAATTGGGGAGGAGTATGGAAGAAGTGAATGTTTTCAGATACTTGGGAGTTGACATGTCGGCGGATGGATTTATGAAGGATGAGGTTAATCATAGAATTGATGAGGGAAAAAAGGTGAGTGGTGCATTGAGGTATATGTGGAGACAAAAAACATTATCAATGGAGGCAAAGAAGGGAATGTATGAAAGCATAGTACTACCAACACTCTTACATGGGTGTGAAGCTTGGGTTGTGAATGCAGCAGGAGGTGGTTGGAGGCAGTGGAGATGTCCTGTCTAAGGGCAATGTGTGGTGTATATATTATGAAGAAAATTTGGAGTGTGGAAATTAGGTGTGGAGTTAATAAAAGTATTAGTAAGAGGGCTGAAGAGGGTTTGTTGAGGTGGTTTGGTCATTTAGAGAGAATGGATCAAAGTAGAATGACATGGAGAGTGTATAAATCTGTAGGGAAAGGAAGGCGAGGTACGTGTCATCCTCCAAAAGGTTGGAGGGAGGGGCTAAACGAGGTTTTGTGGGCTAGGGGCTTGGATTTCCAGCAAGCGTGCGTGAGCGTGTTAGATAGGAGTGAATGGAGACAAATGGTATTTGGGACCTGACGAGCTGTTGGAGTGTGAGCAGGGTAATATTTAGTGAAATGATTCAGGTAAACCGGTTATTTTTATATAGCCGGACTCGAGTCCTGGAAATGGGAAGTACAATGCCTGCACTTTAAAGGAGGGGTTTGGGATATTTGCAGTTTGGAGGGATATGTTGTGTATCTTTATACATATATGCTTCTAAACTGTTGTATTCTGAGCACCTCTGCAAAAACAGTGATTATGTGTGAGTGAGGTGAAAGTGTTGAATGATGATGAAAGTATTTTCTTTTTGAGATTTTCTTTCTTTTTGGGTCACCCTGCCTTGGTGGGAGACGGCCGACTTGTGTAAAAAAAAAAAAAAAAAAAAAAAAAAAAAAAGTACAATAAGCAAAAGTCTGTTTTGTAAGACATGTAAAACCTGTATCTAGCTCAAAATTTTTTTCTACATGGTGCCTATGACAATAAAAATTATAAGAAACCCTCTTTAAACATTAAATTTCACATCATGAGACCTATCCTAAAAGACACCCTCAAATTTTCCTGAGCAAGATGTTGGTTCTTAATCCTTCAAGGTCAGTGGCCTGGTGGCTAAAGCTCCCGCTTCACACACGGAGGGCCCGGGTTCGATTCCCGGCGGGTGGAAACATTTCGACATGTTTCCTTACACCTGTTGTCCTGTTCACCTAGCAGCAAATAGGTACCTGGGTGCTAGTCGACTGGTGTGGGTCGCATCCTGGGGGACAAGATTAACCCTTTGAGGGTCCGTCCCGTAGATCTACGGCTTTACGTTCAGGGTCCAAACCGTAGATCTACGTCATGATCTCAGCTCACTCTGATAAACTGTGAGTGGTACATTTGGGCCTAGATATGAGAGAATACATCTATGTGGTATGTGTGCACCACATAAAACAGATCCTGCAGCACGCTGTGTATAATGAGAGAAAAAAACTGAAATCATGATTTTTCGATTAAAACAGCGACTTTGCAGTGTTTTTTCGTATGTTTTTTATAGTTCTATTTGCGATTTCTTGGTCTCATTTGATAGAATGGAAGACATATTACAGAAATAGAGATAACTTTGATTGGTTTTAGCACTGTAAATGGCTTGAAACTGAGCTCAAAGTAGCAGAAACGTTAAATTTTTGCCGATATTCAAGAGTAAACAAACGACCTCACACGTCTAATACACGCCAGCTGGTGGGTCTAATATGCATTCACAAATATGGTGATGATATTTATACAATTATTACAGTATTGCATAACAGTAAATCTTCTATTTTTTGGTGTGAATAAAAATTCATTATGTGAATAAAAAATCAAAATGGAATTTATTTGTAAAGCCTCAAAACGTAACTAATGAACAGAGGAAATGTTAGTTTAGTTCCAGGAATACCTACATTGTTTATTCTGGACCCTATTTTGAAATTGGAATATTTTGAACTTTGTGTTAAATTGGCCAAATTAACAATTTCCGATCACTTTAATTTGTAGTTGAAACAGTTGACTTGCCGATTTCTTGTGCTCAATCGATAGAGTAGAAGTAATACTAGTGAAATAGCTAAGAATTTGGTTGACTGGAATAATGTAATTGGCCTAAGATGGGAGTCAAAGTCGGCAAAATCGCCGATTCGTAAATATCGCTGACACATCAAAATTTGCGAGAGCATAATTTCGTCAATTTTCCATCAAATTTCGTACTTTTTGTTTTATTACCTTCGCAAAAAGATTCTCTACCATTTCATAAGAAAAAATAATAAATTTTTTTTTGAAAATTCTTGGACACTGGGGCACCACTTCAGATTTGGGCCTTGGACCCTGAAGGGGTTAAGGACCCCAATGGAAATAAGTTAGACAGTCCTCGATGACGCACTGACTTTCTTGGGTTATCCTGGGTGGCTAACCCTCCGGGGTTAAAAATCCGAACGAAATCTTATCTTATCTTACTATGAATTTGAACTCTGGGTCCATGCTGTAAATCGACGTGATGAGCTCATCTCACTCAGTAAGCTGTGAGTGGTAAACTTTGGCCTAGATATGAGAGAATTGGCTTATGTGGAGAGTAGGCACCACATATAAAAAAAAGTCCTGCCTCATGCAGTGCATGGGGAAAAAACTAGTGACTGTGTTTTTGGTTTAAAATAGCAAATTTGAGGTGTATTTTCAAATGGTTTCTATGGTTTTACTCTCAGTTTCTTGGTATCAAATGAGAGAATGGAAGATATACTATTGAAATAGAGATGCTTTCAATTTGTTCCAGAACTAGAAGTAGCTTGAAACTGAGCTTCAAGTAGTATAAATGTTTGATTTCTGCCAACATTCTATAGGACATAAATTATGTCACTCATCCAATACATGTCGAGCTGGTCGGTCTTAATATGTGTTCACAAATGTACTGACATTTATGCAATTATTACAATAATACAGCAGTCCACATAACAGTAGGGTCTTTTTATTTTTTGTGTTAATAAAAATTCAAAATGGAAAGCAAGTGTAATACAGGAGAGGCCTGGGGATGTAACTAATGAACAGAGGAAATGTTGCTTTAGTGCCAGGATTGTTTACATTGTTTATTCTGTACCTTATTTTTAAATTGGTAATTTTTTAGTTTTGTGTGAAATTGGCCAAATTACTGATTTCTAATAACTTTACTGGGTAGTTGAAATAGTTAAATGGGCGATTCTTTTGTACTCGATCAACAGAATGGAAGGCATACTAGCGAAATAGCTAAGAGTCTGCTTGACTGGAACACTGGAATTGGCCTAAAATATTACTCACATTGGGCAAAATCGCTACTATGTAAATATCGCTGAGACTGCTAACTTTGCAAGAGTGTAATTCTGCAAGTTGTCCATCAAATTTCTACTTTGCTCTCATTACCCCCAGAAAAAGTCTCATCATTTCATAAGATATTTTTTTTTTTAATTCCTGAACCCTGTGAGCAATTTTCAGATTAGGGGTCTGGACCTTAAAAGGGTGAACCCTTAACTTTACTCTTTCATTATCTTTCTTAAAGGTCTAGCACTGTCAAAAGTTTGAATAGTGTTTAATAAACAGATAGAAAACAAAAAATAGGGAGTGCTTGAAGATGGGAGATCATGCAGAAAACTGTAATACTGTATCTACTTACATAGGTGTACTGGCTTCAATGGAGGAGACTGTGGAGAGGTAGGGCAAAGTTGTACCTACATGCTCTACATTCTCAAGAGGGCTAGATAATGTAGAAGGAAGAGTAGAAGACATATTAGTGTGGTCTTCATCTAGCCACACACGACAAGAACCATACTGATACACTGATGTATACACCGAGAAAAGGAAACATTCCTGCAAGCAATTTAAAAAATGTTTATTATTCAATTAATATAAAATGTCTTATATCAAACTCAGGTGTTCCAATCTATTTAATAGCAAAGAATATGAAAACATTGTTTCCATAAATATAATCAAAACTTACACTTGATTCTTGACACCAAGCACAACGTCCTGGGTCCCCAAGACACGTGGCGCAGGACTTACGCTTATGACATGGTGCAGGGCATTTACCAACCTCTATTACTGCCCCTTGAAATCTTCCTTTCCTGGAGCAATGTGCCTCATCTGGCAACCATTCACAGCTCCCAGACCCTACACAGTCAGTGCAATAGATATACTGTTCACAAGTTATGCACTGCTCAGGTACCAAGGTGAGAAAATAGATATTTTTGGTGCCCTCTGCTGAAGTTAATGAACAAGTAGAATGTTCATTATGTCTGGCAACACAAGAGAATGTCTGGCTACACCAACCACACTTGGCATCTGTGAGACAGGCTAGACAAGTTGTGTGAGCAGTACATGCTGAGCCTCCAGAGCTATATGGCTCAAGATATTCAAGAGATATTACACGGCGGGTGTGAGTGTGAGCGTTCCACACTATGCTCACAACTCCATTTTGTGGAGAGGGTTGGACAGGCTGGCTAACCTGCAGCTTTGTAAGATATCGATAACCACGAGACAAGTCCAAAAAGATAGCCTCTTCTCTGGGTCGCCGTGCTGCTTCTCGCATTTCTTTTTTTGCATCAATGCTTGCAACCAATTCTAATTTTTCTTCAGTATCATCAAGAGAGACCCAAAGTGAGGCATTCACATGTGAAGCCTGGACAAACATCATTAGGTTTTTGTCTCCTTTGACTGGTTTTACTCCCAGGGGATGAATAAACCCAATAAATTGGGCCAAGGTACTCCCTCCTGTATGTAGTTCTCGAGCCCCACGAAACTCTTGAGTATCTCGTAGCTCCTGAATTGTGGTATTTGCAATAGTAACATGATCAGGCTTAGTAAGATCAACTGGGTGACGATAGCGTATGACAGTTATGCCAGGTCTCATGTCATACTCCTGACACTCTTCAGGAGAAACTAGGTCATTACCATGAGGACCCCACCATCCCTCCAGACCCAAGGGATTATCATCGGGAGATCCACACCGGCCCAACCCACCACTAGGTTCATCTCGTTCATGGCACTTGGCTGTCTGGACGCACCAGGCACATGGTCGACCATGGGAATATCTACCATGAATAGCACATGACTGGCATGAATGTAGGGATGCACATACACCAGGACACTGTGATGTTTGTAGGTTATTGGTACAGTTAGCACCACGTGACCTCTCATAGCAGCTCAAATCAGATGGGCACCAACCACATTCCAGGTTGGACACGCATGATGCCTGTAACAGAAATCACTTATGAATAAACCAAAATAACTTATCTTAATAAAAATGATTCAAAACAATGAAATGACAAAACAAGAGAAATTAAATGATATTAAAAGGAAGTGTAGTGACTGGGAAGAATTATATAGGCAACAAACTAATATAACTAAGTTTTGAAAAACATTAGCCATTTACAAAACTACAGTGGACCCCCGCATAACGATCACCTCCGAATGCGACCAATTATGTAAGTGCATTTATGTAGGTGCGTTTGTACGTGTATGTTTGGGGGTCTGAAATGGACTAATCTACTTCACAATATTCCTTATGGGAACAAATTCGGTCAGTACTGGCACCTGAACATACTTCTGGAGTGAAAAAATATCATTAACTGGGGGTCCACTGTATCAGCCATTATACATATAAAGAATCAATGAAGAAATGCTGTAGTATCTCCTACTCAAACATGATACATGGTAACTAGTACTTTGTAGAAGAGAACTGACAAAAATTCTAGACAATGGTAAGTCTCCCTGGCTTTGAGCAAATTTGCTCGCGCCATTAACTATTATATTGAAACAAAGCACATTACGGGTGGGGTTTGAACCCATGGCTCCACTGTGACCACAGTGGGGCCCATAATAACTTCCCTATGGTGTATAAATACACCCAGTTGGATGAATCTTATGGTAGTCAGCTGGTCCAGTGACTTATGCACTGGCCTGGAGTTTTACCACTCACTTGCCATGGGTTTAAACCCCACTCGGTCCATGGTTTGTTTGCAATCATGTTATTACGATTTTGTGAGTAACTAATATATTTTTTTTTTATTATTTTTTTTATTATCACACTGGCCGATTCCCACCAAGGCAGGGTGGCCCGTAAAAGAAAAACTTTCACCATCATTCACTCCATCACTGTCTTGCCAGAAGGGTGCTTTACACTTACAGTTTTTGAACTGCAACATTAACACCCCTCCTTCAGAGTGCAGGCACTGTACTTCCCATCTCCAGGACTCAAGTCCGGCCTGCCGGTTTCCCTGAACCCCTTCATAAATGTTACTTTGTTCACACTCCAACAGCACGTCAAGTATTAAAAAACAATTATCTCCATTCACTCCTATCAAACACGCTCACGCATGCCTGCTGGAAGTCCAAGCCCCTCGCACACAAAACCTCCTTTACCCCCTCCCTCCAACCTTTCCTAGGCCGACCCCTACCCCGCCTTCCTTCCACTACAGACTGATACACTCTTGAAGTCACTCTGTTTCGCTCCATTCTCTCTACATATCCGAACCCCCTCAACAACCCTTCCTCAGCCCTCTGGACAACAGTTTTGGTAATCCTGCACCTCCTCCTAACTTCCAAACTACGAATTCTCTGCATTATATTCACACCACACATTGCCCTCAGACATGACATCTCCACTGCCTCCAGCCTTCTCCTCACTGCAACATTCATCACCCATGCTTCACACCCATATAAGAGCGTTGGTAAAACTATACTCTCATACATTCCCCTCTTTGCCTCCAAGGACAAAGTTCTTTGTCTCCACAGACTCCAAAGTGCACCACTCACCCTTTTCCCCTCATCAATTCTATGATTCACCTCATCTTTCATAGACCCATCCACTGACACGTCCACTCCCAAATATCTGAATACATTCACCTCCTCCATACTCTCTCCCTCCAATCTGATATCCAATCTTTCATCACCTAATCTTTTTATCCTCATAACCTTACTCTTTCCTGTATTCACTTTTAATTTTCTTCTTTTGCACACCCTACCAAATTCATCCACCAAGCTCTGCAACTTCTCTTCAGAATCTCCCAAGAGCACAGTGTCATCAGCAAAGAGCAACTGTGACAACTCCCACTTTATGTGTGATTCTTCATCTTTGAACTCCACACCTCTTGCCAAGACCCCCGCATTTACTTCTCTTACAACCCCATCTATAAATATATTAAACAACCACGGTGACATCACACATCCTTGTCTAAGGCCTACTTTTACTGGGAAATAATTTCCCTCTTTCCTACATACTCTAACTTGAGCCTCACTATCCTCGTAAAAATTCTTCACCGCTTTCAGTAACCTACCTCCTACACCATACACCTGCAACATCTGCCACATTGCCCCCTCTATCCACCCTGTCATACGCCTTTTCCAAATCCATAAATGCCACAAAGACCTCTTTAGCCTTATCTAAATACTGTTCACTTATATGTTACACTGTAAACACCTGGTCCACACACCCTCTACCTTCCCTAAAGCCTCCTTGTTCATCAGGTATCCTATTCTCCATCTTACTCTTAATTCTTTCAATAATAACTCTACCATACACTTTACCAGGTATACTCAACAGACTTATTATTATTATTTTTTTATCACACTGGCCGATTCCCACCAAGGCAGGGTGGCCCGAAAAAGAAAAACTTTCACCATCATTCACTCCATCACTGTCTTGCCAGAAGGGTGCTTTACACAACAGTTTTTAAACTGCAACATTAACACCCCTCCTTCAGAGTGCAGGCACTGTACTTCCCATCTCCAGGACTCAAGTCCGGCCTGCCGGTTTCCCTGAACCCCTTCATAAATGTTACTTTGCTCACACTCCAACAGCACGTCAAGTATTAAAAAACAATTATCTCCATTCACTCCTATCAAACACGCTCACGCATGCCTGCTGGAAGTCCAAGCCCCTCGCACACAAAACCTCCTTTACCCCCTCCCTCCAACCTTTCCTAGGCCGACCCCTACCCCGCCTTCCTTCCACTACAGACTGATACACTCTTGAAGTTATTCTGTTTCGCTCCATTCTCTCCACATGTCCGAACCACCTCAACAACCCTTCCTCAGCCCTCTGGACAACAGTTTTGGTAATCCCGCACCTCCTCCTAACTTCCAAACTACGAATTCTCTCCATTATATTCACACCACACATTGCTCTCAGACATGACATCTCCACTGCCTCCTGTCTTCTCCTCGCTGCAACATTCATCACAGACTTATCCCCCTATAAATTTTGCACTCTCTTTTGTCCCCTTTGCCTTTATACAAAGGAACTATGCATGCTCTCTGCCAATCCCTAGGTACCTTACCCTCTTCCATACATTTATTAAATAATTGCACCCACCACTCCAAAACTATATCCCCACCTGCTTTTAACATTTCTATCTTTATCCCATCAATCCCGGCTGCCTTACCCCCTTTCATTTTACCTACTGCTTCACGAACTTCCCCCACACTCACAACTGGCTCTTCCTCACTCCTACAAGATGTTATTCCTCCTTGCCCTATACACGAAATCACAGCTTCCCTATCTTCATCAACATTTAACAATTCCTCAAAATATTCCCTACATCTTCCCAATACCTCTAACTCTCCATTTAATAACTCTCCTCTCCTATTTTTAACTGACAAATCCATTTGTTCTCTAGGCTTCCTTAACGTGTTAATCTCACTCCAAAACTTTTTCTTATTTTCAACAAAATTTGTTGATAACATCTCACCCACTCTCTCATTTGCTCTCTTTTTACATTACTTCACCACTCTCTTAACCTCTCTCTTTTTCTCCATATACTCTTCCCTCCTTGTATCACTTCTTTGTAAAAACTTCTCATATGCTAACTCATATGCTATTATACTGTATATCAAATACTGTATTTGCTTTGTGGGAGGTCACCTCATTTGTACAGTAGATTTTGGCTCCTAGTGGAGGGAGGCCAGAACTCTGAGCCACTTGCCCTCAGAAGACAACATGATCCCTAAATCTTACACTGGAAAAAATTACAGAGGTATATTTCTAATTAATAAATATATTGAAGACTGTGGCTTGAGAATGATACAAAAGCGATGTTCATAATGGTAGATGGCACATTGTACATGAGTAGGTTTAGCACACTGAATATAGTTTTAAGACTTTAGCTCAAACACATCTGGAAGAAGATCATACCAACATCTAGAGAAAGATCATGTATGCTTATGGAGGTATCTTTCTTTCTTTCAACACACCGGCCGTATCCCACCGAGGCGGGGTAGCCCAAAAGGAAAAACGAAAGTTTCTCCTTTTACATTTAGTAATATATACAGGAGACGGGGTTATTATGGAGGTATATCATACATATATCTATACAATCACATAAGCATCTGGTAGATCATTAAATCATCTGGAACATCATACAAGCATCTGGAAAATCATACAAGCATCTGGAAGATCATACAAGTATCTGGAAGATCATACAAGCATCTGGAAGATCATAAAAGCATCTGGAAGATCATATAAGCATCTGGAAGATCATACAAACATCTGGAAGATCATACAAGCATCTGGAAGATCATACAAGCATCTGGAAGATCATACAAGCATCTGGAAGATCATACAGCATCTGGAAGATCATACAAGCATCTGGAAGATCATACAAGCATCTGGAAGATCATACAAGCATCTGGAAGATCATACAAGCATCTGGAAGATCATACAAGCATCTGGAAGATCATACAAGCATCTGGAAGATCATACAAGCATCTGGAAGGTCATACAAGCATATGGAAGATCCTACTTTATTCATGTTAAATCACACTGGATGTAAATGCTATTATTGTTAGAGTAAGTGGAAAAGGTTAAATTCACACAAGTCATACAGTGCCTGGGAAATGGGAGGATAAAAAAAAAAAAAAAAAAAGTATCAATCTATCAATTTATTTCCACATGATACATCATTTGTACAAAATTGGATGACATTACATCTCACACATGGAAAGCCCCATAGTTATGCAGAGCATTTTGGGCAAGCTTAAAGCTGACTTACATCTAGAAGGATTAAATAAAACAATAATGATTTCCACAATAAAATAGCTTACATGAATATTAAACAAATGCACATGAAGCAGAAAGAATCACAAGTTACGGGGGGAAAAGAACACTTAGATTATGCTATAATATTAAGAGCCCTTCACTAGCATCAAGGCACCTAACTTGAAGGGACAGAGCAAAAAAAAAATAATGATAGACAAATGGACTTCAAGGTGTACGTACCTGGGTGCTATGTCTTCGGCATGCCTCATCCATATCAAATTCGCGGCCTTCAGGAGACACCAAAGTAGATGGTAAAACATATGCCAACACATGACTGTTTACAATGCCATGAAAGCCTCCGACTATGACCATCGTATTACCGCCACGCAGAAATACACTATGTCCATAAACACCTTGAATTTTAGGGTATATGCCTGAAAATAATTTGCATTTTGAAGGAAGATTTTCTTTAAAATTAATAAACACTAAAATATTATAGCCAGTCATTTATTTATATGTATGTATGCATGTATGTTTTTTCTTTTAATGAACTGGCCATATCCCACCGAGGCAGGGAGACCTAAAAAGAAATTCAGTAATTTACCCAGAAGAAAAATGGAAGTTTTTCTTTTCAAATTTAGTAATTTACAGAGAAGGGGTTACTAGCCCCTTGCTCCTGGTAAGGCTGATATTTAATTTTAACTGTTAAGGGGTAATCTTACTTTGCTGCATGTAGATGAACTAACACACCTGGAAAAGTTTATAGTTTTCTTAAGAAGCCCATCCTTGCTTATCTGCCTAGCTTATTATCCAAAGATGTTATTTTGCTTAGGTACAATTTGGGAAAGAGGTCTCTTACAATGTTTACTTTCAAGTCTCTTCCTCTGATTCTAGTTGTTCCCCATCCATGTGGCAAGTCTAATTTTTTTTTTTTCCAACAAGTCGGCCATCTCCCACCGAGGCAGGGTGACCCAAAAAGAAAGAAAATCCCCAAAAAGAAAATACTTTCATCATCATTCAAAACTTTCACCTCACTCATACATAATCACTGTTTTTGCAGAGGTGCCCAGAACACAACAGTTTAGAAGCATATACGTATAAAGATATACAACATATCCCTCCAAACTGCCAATATCCCAACCCCTCCTTTGAAGTGCAGGCATTGTACTTCCCATTTCCAGTTCTCAAGCCCGTCTATATAAAAATAACCGGTTTCCCTGAATCCCTTCACTAAATATTACCCTGCTCACACTCCAAAGGTTTGTCAGGTCCCAAATACCACTCGTCTCCATTCACTCCTATCTAACACATTCACGCATGCTCGCTGGAAGTCCAAGCCCCTCACCCACAAAACCTCCTTTACCCCCTCCCTCCAACCTTCCTTCCCCTACAGATTTATATGCTCTCCATGTCATTCTACTTTGATCCATTCTCTCTAAATGACCAAACCACCTCAACAACCCCTCTTCAGCCCTCTTATTAACTCCACACCTTCTCCTAATTTCCACACTCCGAATTTTCTGCATAATATTTACACCACACACTGCTCTTAGACAGGACATCTCCACCACCTCCAACCGCCTCCTTGCCGCAGCATTTACAACCCAAGCTTCACACCCATATAAGAGTGTTGGTACCACTATACTTTCATACATTCCCTTCTTTGCCTCCATAGATAATGTTTTTTGTCTCCACATATACCTCAATGCACCACTCACCTTTTTTCCTTCATCAATTCTATGGTTAACCTCATCCTTCATAAATCCATCTGCTGACACATCAACTTCCAAATATCTGAAAACATTCACTTCTTCCATACTCCTCCTTCAGCAAGTGTAATGATCTAGCTAATTTTGTAAACCACAGAACAAGGCATATAAATGTCACTGTGATAACACACACATCACTCACCAGCATGACCTGTTGGTGTTAGTTGGTGTGACATCCATACATGGCAGCCCAGGTGGTAGAGGTAGATCTTGTTATCGTAACATGTCTCCTCCTCTTTATGTTTGTGCATATAGCCACCAAATATAACCATATAATTACCTGTAGTAAAAAGAAAGCATGTGTTACCCTTTGAAACTGCCTGATATTATTTAACACATCATGTCTAATATATTTAATTAATACCATAAATCCTCAAGTTCCTACTTTGTTAAATTTCAAAACACACTGAGAAATGCTTACTCAGCGATGAGAGCCATTAAGCGTGAAATAAACTTGGTAAATACATACCAAATGACAAATATAATAAAGAGAATGGAACAGACACCAGTGAGTGTAAGTTATATGAATAAGTTTGTTTGAAGATATCTACTGGAAGAACTACCTGCATTCCAGAGACTTCTAGGTGACTCACAATATGTTAAGTAAAAGGACACAAGTGCAACTAATGTGACATTTTATTGTGGCGACATTTTGCTCTCCAGGAGCTTTGTCAAGCAGTTAACGGCTTGATAAAGCTCCTGGAGAGCAAAACATTGCCACAATAAAATGTCACATTACTTGCATTTGCGTCCTTTTACTTAACACATTCTCGGTAATTCTACCAACATTAATACAACTCACAATATCATGAATAACTATGTGATGCAAGGGTAGTAAAGCAGAAGGCTCTTTCCCCCACCTTCAACACTTTCTTGTCATAATGCCACTGAAAAAAAGTGTAGGGAATGATGGGAAAGGCAGGCGTTGAAATATAAGTACGTATGTCAAAACTAGCATGGACATCACAGTGGTACCCCGAGTTTCATACAACTCCCAACTTGAACAATTATGTAAGTGTATTATTGTAAGTATTTTTCTAAGTGTATTTTTGGGGGGTCTGAAACGGACTAATCAAATTTACATTATTCCTTATGGTAACAAATTCATTTGGTAACAGCACACGAACAGCCTTCTGGAACGAATTATGGCCGAAACTCAAGGTACCACTGTATATATAGAAAAGATAGAAATAGATATAAATTACAATTACTACTACCACCACCACCACTACTACTATTACTAATCTACCATGAAATATTGTGCCCTGGGTAGTGTATGGTCACACAGATGTCCTGAAATAGTTCCAAAGCTTTAATGAGGTTTCCAGCTTTTTAGCGTCATCCCAGCAATAAAGTTTACAATATACGTATACTAGTAACTTCCTCTATTTTATCTTGTATTAAAAATTACAACATGGTCAGTTACAAATACCTAAACCAGCTATACTAAATTATTTACATCAATATTTCCTACCCCTGGTACATTACACCCATGTTTAAATATGATACTGCCACACCACAATACTGAAAGCATCCATATTTACTTTATACATCCCTTTACCCTGCCTTGCAGCATCAGTAACACACTCATCTTTTTTACCAGATGTTCACCTGCCCTTTACATATCTCCAGGGCTCACACTTATCATCTTAACTCCATCCCAGGCTGAGATAAAGATGTTCAAACCAGAGTGTGGTGAGCCATGACCAATCCCTAGGATGCCTCAAGCAGTACTGACTCAAAAAAAAAAGTATCTGCTACACTTTTAATCTCCTCCCACACATCCTAACCAATACAAAATTTATAAATAATGCTAATCCAGCTAGTTACTAAACACTGACAAAATAACAAGAACATTTTCTGGCATCTTTAATATATATATAAAGATAAACTAAACTTGTAAAAATAATAAAATATATTTTCAGCCTAAAAAGTTTATACCCGCAATACAAAAATCGTAAATATACATGTATGTATATATCTTTTACTCTACCATATCAAAATCTTAACTGAATTCAGCACCATACTTTAAGCATCAGAGAACCCTACTGGTATATGAGTATTCTATCAAAACTGCTACAACTCTGAAAAACAGCTAAAGAAAATTATAGTTACTCTTTTCCTGAAAAAACTTACACACTCCTTATTAAAAAAAACCTAAAATCTCATAAAATTACAGTCACCAATATACTCAAGCAACCTTCTCTGATCTTCAGAATAATTTTATATCCCCTATTACTGCTATCAAAATATCAAAATTACATTATAAATGTTAACAAACAAGGCCACAGAGACTTGGCAGCCATGCTAATATATATTGGATGCTCTCGATATCAATACAGCTACTTAAATCCTATATTTTAATTGCAGCCTCTCCTCACTTACAGAGTCATCGTTTACTGATGACTCGGACTTACGATGGGCTCTCTGACTAGTATGTATGCCTTAATAATGTATATTAGAGCTGATTTCCTCTATTCTATTTCATACAATATACAGTACACTACTGTATAAACATTTAAAAATATACCAGAAATGTTATGCTCCTCACTTAGCAACGAATTCATTTACCGACATGATCTTAGGAACGGAACTCCATCGTTAAGTGAGGAGAGGCTGTAATAATACGTAATATAATAAATAGTTCCTGTACATTACAGCCACAGCACTATCTATTCAGCCAGAGTATTTCACCTAGTCAGCCCATGTACTGCATATTATTAGCAAATGCTTATGCAAATGGTCCTTAAATGACTGAACTGTTTAAGCTCGTATATCTTCGGAGGAAAGTCAATTCCAGTGTTCTATAACTGTTTACAAGAAAGCCTTTACAAACATTTATCTTAAAGTTCTTGCCTTGGGATTTAGTTGGTTTAATGTTATTTTATCAATCTGCACTTCATGCATGTCTTCCTTCTTGAGCATATGCAAAATACAGAGGACCCCCGGTTATCGGCCGGTTTGGTTATCGACCAACTCGGTTATCAGTGGGGTTTTTGGCGCTGGGTTATTGGCTGGTTTGGTTATTGGCCAACTCGGTTATCGGTGGGGTTTTTGGCACTCGGTTATCGGCCATACGCTCAGTTATCGGCCGTTTTAGACGCGTCCATCCGCCAGGTGGGGCAGCTTGCGCTTCAGTTTGGCTTTGTCTCTTGGTGGCTGAGGAAGCTTCTGCTTATACATCCAAACATTTTGCTTGTTTACTATTGTTTTTAGTGGTTTTTCTTGCAGTGCAACTGTGAAATAAGTAACCATGGCTCCAAAGAAAGTTCCTAGTAAAGTTCCTGTGGTAAAGAAAGTGAGAAATACCATGGAATTTAAGCATGAAGTGATAGAAAAGTTTGAGATTGGTATAAAAGTGGTGGAACTTGCCAGGATGTACAGCAAGAATAAATCAACAATTACATCCATCCTGGCAAAGAAAGAGCAAATCAAAGATGCTAATGTTGCAAAAGGAGTAACTTTTCTAACTAAACAAACGACACCGATAATGGAAGAGATGGAAAAGTTATTATTATTGTGGATTAAGGAAAAAAAGGGAGTGAAGGAGGTGCCTTCTTCAGAGATTAAAGAGGTGTGTGCAATGTGGACCAGGGTGCAAGCTTTTGTAGAGAAACACCACCCTGACAAAGCTGAAACAAGCCATATCTGCAACATGTTTAGTGACAAAACCCTGTCTACTTCAGGGAAATCTTAAAGAGATGCCAGAAACAGAGCACTCTGGACAGTTATTTTGTGAGACAGGGGTCCAGTGACTCTCAAGCTGGTCCTAGTGGCATTAAAAGACATAGAAGAGAAGTAACCCCAGAGAAGGAATTGCTACCTGAAGTCTTCATGGAGTGGGATTCCCCTTCCAAACACTAACTCCTCCCTCTTTCCTCCTCCCTAACTTCCAGAAGCCAGCATTAGCCTTCAATAAAGGTATGTAATACTTACATAACTGTAAAAATTTTTTTTTTTGTGAATATTTTTGTTTGGAACGAATTAATTATTTTTTATTAATTCAGTTATTGGCCATTTCGGTTATTGGCTGACCTTCAGGAACGGATTATGACCGATAACCGGGGGTCCACTGTACATTTAATGCATTTAATACCCTAAATGAGGTCTCCTCAAAGTCTTGGTTGCACAATTTATTTTTTATTGAAAACATGAGTTTTGTTGTCACTTTCTGAACTCTCTCTAGTTTTTAATATTTTATGTAATGCAAAAACCAAAATTAAACAGTAAATTGGAGTCTAAGAAGTGGGATATAAAGAAGGGGTGTGCCAAATTATCACCATCGGTGGGTATTGGTTAATTTTGATGGTATCTTTATCAGCCTAAAATTGAGTATCAGTACCCTAAATGATTTTGATATTGTCCCATCACTAGCATATAATGTTAATGATGCTCTGGGTGTTTTCTACCTGAAATTTCTAGCTGTGAAACCTAGCATTCTGTTGGCTTCACTGTTCACAGCTAATAAATAAACTATGATCTTTTTTTTGTCTCAGCAAATAGGTTTTAATGAATTCTAAAATCATATTCAGCAATGTTATACCAAAAATGCTTTGCATTTGTTCAAAGTTAAACATATCATTCATGTCTCTGACTACCATGCAAGCCAGTCCAAGTTTCTTGAAATATCTAGTCTATCATATATGATGCATATTTCCCTAATCTCAAAGTGTTTTCAAACTTTGCAACTTTAGATATTAGCCTCCATTCTCAATTATTAATATCTGAGCTGAGAGCCAAGCCCTGAGGAACTCCACCTGTTATGTTCAACTACTCTTATACTTTCCCATTTAAATCTACTCAGTATCTCCCATCAGTGAGCTAATTAGTAACCCAAGCATGAAGGAAACAGCCGTTCATTCAGAAATTAAGAGAGTTAACTTACAGAAAACATTGTTTATTCAGAAACAAAGAGCTAACTTACAAATTAACTTTTACTGAAATACAGCCATTTCTCGAGTTTGAATAGTGCAAATTTTCATTTAGTGTGAAATTATTTATGCTAGTTCCCCCCCCCAAAAAAATATTCAAATTGTGCACAAAAACTACACATAATCTGAACAGTGTAAATTTGAATAATGCGACCACTCTACAGGATTCATTATTTGCACTAATTGTGACCTGGCTTTACATCCTTAAAACAAAGTTGCTCACATTTCAATTGTTTTGCAAGAATGTATAGACATTTTAATTTATATGTTACTCTTAAATATGATGCTTCAGCAATGAATACTGTAGCATTATGTAGTATTTTTCAATTTGACAAAAATCTAAATTATTTGTTCATCAAAAAAATTAATAACGTACTGTACATCATTTTTAAATGCGTTATTTAATAGAGTACTTCAAAGGAAAAACCTGATTAGATCATCAAATAACAGTTAATGATTTTTTATTGAACATATCTATTAAAACAGCTACCACCCATATACATAACCTCTGATTTAAAATTATTCTGGAAAAACACCAATAAGTAAAAACGAGTAAGCAATCTCATATATAAGTAACAAAAAATAAACAACGTAAATGGTAAGTTAGTAACTCTGAGTTCACTGCCCACCTCACTGCCATAGCCAGTGGAAGCTTAAGAAATTTTCCAACAGACTAAATACTGAAGGCAGGTCACCACAAGCTTAGTTCTGTTCCTGTTGTTACAAATGGGGTAATCACAGAATTATTTATTGCACTCTGGTTTAGTATGTCATACCTAGTGTTTTGTGTATACACAACACTCCCTCTTTATTAGCATGTATTTCATACAACTTCTATGTTTACACACCTTAGAAATTTCTGTACAAATTTCACCACACAACAGTTCATTTTTATAGTGTTTAAATAAGTGTCCAATAAATTTGCCAGTTATCCTTATTATTACAATAATTAATTTTTTTTTGCAAATTTCTTCAATGCAGAGCAGATATTAGTGACCAGACAGCTATAACAGTTATACTGTATTTGACTAAATGTACAGCACCATCAATGAAAACTCTCTAATTTTGGGTTTCACTTACCAGCAATAACAGCAGAGTGAAATGCACGTTCCAAAGGAATGTGCAGCGGTTGGGTATTGTGAGGTCGGGGATAATGAATCTGTGACCAGTAGTGCTGGTCAATATCAAAAACCAAGAGACGATCAGAAAGTTTGGAGAACCTGAAAGTATATACCCCTCAGGGTCAAAACTACGTATGTAAACATCTAACAATATTCACCCTAATACTGTGCCTTAGATCAGTGGTGTTTAACTTAGGAAATGACCCAAGGGGTAATTTTGTCTTTCACAGAGACTAACTAATGGCAGCACTCTTTAATAAAGCTTACATTATTATTACTGCTATTAATATTATTATTAATATTATTATTATTATTATTATTATTATTATTATTATTAGTGCAGTATTTATAAATGGGAGGAGGTAATTGCATTTTTGCTAGTTAGCTCAATGGGTAAAAGTGCCAAAGGAAGTTAAACACTACTATTTAAGATAATCACTTATAAAATATTGGAGAAAGTGAAGGATCTGATGGATTCAATGTTTACATCTACAGAAGCAATTCGGTAACAAAAATATGGGCTACAATTAAAGACAAAAGTCTGAAAGGCCACTAATAGAAATTTTCACTACTGTAAAGTGATTATAATAAAAGTAGAATACATACTATGCCAAATTTACAAAACACAAATACAGTGGAACCTCAAAAATCGAACGTATCACATATCGAACGTTTTGAAAATAGGACCATTTTTTCGGACAGTGTCCCTATTATCGAACGCGCCCCTATTTTCGGACCGCCGGGTACGGGACCTGTCTGCCTGCCCGCTCTGTCTGCATCCCCGCGCAGGCGCCGTGAGCAGTCTAGCTTTGTTTATGCTTGAGTGAACACTAACCTGCACTCTCATTCACGCATTTTACGATTATTTCGTTGTGTTTAATCCTTGTGGGACTGTGAAATAAGCTACCAAGGGCCCAAAGAAACTTGCTAGTGGTACCCCTGTGGTAAAGAAAGTGAGAAACACCATAGATGTGAAGAAGGAAATAATACAGAAGTATGAGAGTGGTGTGAGACTTGTTGAGCTTGCCAGGATGTATGGGAAAAACAAGTCGACCATCGGTTCTATCCTGTCAAAGAAGGAACAAACCAAGGAAGCTGATGTTGCGAAAGGTGTTAATATAGTGAGTGGATGAGGTGCCTTCTTCAAAGATTAAGGAGATTTGTGCCAAGTGGAATAATGTCCAAATGTTTGTGCAGAAGTACCACCCTGAGCAAGCTGAAACAAGCCATCTTTGCAACAAGTTCAATGACAGAACCATGTCCCATTTTAGGGAAATGTTAAAGAGGTGCCAGAAACAGAGGACTGTGGACAGTTATTTTGTGAGACAGGGGTCCAGTGACTCTCAAGCTGGTCCTAGTAGCATTAAAAGACAGAGAAGAGAAGTAACCCCAGAGAGGGCTTTACCTGAAGTCCTCATGGAGGGGGATTCTCCTTCCAAACACTAACCCCAACTCCCTCTCTCCTCTTCCCTAACTTCCAGATGCCATCGCCAATCTTCAATAAAGGTAAGTAAAAATGTTATTTTATATGTATTACTATACATAATTAAAAACTATAGTATTTGTTGTATGTAAAACTGTAATTAATCTCTATAAAATGTATTTTTTGTGTGAATATTTTTGGGTTTCTGGAACGGATTAATTGTATTTCCATTATTTCTTATGGGAAATATTGCTTCGAATTTCAGACTTTTCGAATTTAGAACTAGCTCCTGGAACGGATTAAGTTCGATTTTTGAGGTTCCACTGTATCTATACGTGTGAATCTAAAGGTTAAAAAGAAACAGGCTAAAAATTTTTTGTACGCATACAAGTAAACAAACAGTTTAAAAATATATATATAGATATAAAATATCCTAGGTAGTAGGTTGGTAGACAGCAACCGCCCAGGGAGGTACTACCGTCCTGCCAAGTGAGTGTAAAACGAAAGCCTGTAATTGTTTTACATGATGGTAGGATTGCTGGTGTCCATTTTTCTGTCTCAAACATGCAAGGTTTCAGGTACCTCTTGCTACTTCTACTTACACTTAGGTCACACTACACATACATGTACAAGCATATATATACACACCCCACTGGGTTTTCTTCTATTTTCTTACTAGTTCTTGTTCTTGTTTATTTCCTCTTACTTCCATGGGGAAGTGGAACAGAATTCTTCCTCCGTAAGCCATGCGTGTTGTAAGAGGCGACTAAAATGCCGGGAGCAAGGGGCTAGTAACACCTTCTCCTGTATATATTACTAAACGTAAAAGGAGAAACTTTCGTTTTTCCTTTTGGGCCACCCCACCTCGGTGGGATATGGCCGGTGTGTTGAAAGAAAGAGATATAAAATATCAACAAAAAATACTACAACAGTAATTATGTGGCCTACCTTGCTATATCCACTCTAATTCCACCATATACAAGCAAAGATCTAGATGAAGCATGAAAAACCATTGAATGACCAACGACACGAACTTCCAACTGATTACCTCCTCGCACTGTAACCTGGAAAAAAATTCTCTCTGTATACAAATGTAAAAACAAACAAACAAATAAATATATGAACATCCAAGATTTCAGGTATGTCTTGCTACTTCTACTTACACTTAGGTCACACTACACATGCGTGTACAAGCACATATATACACACCCCTCTGGGGTTTTCTTCTATTTTCTTACTAGTTCTTGTTCTTGTTTATTTCCTCTTTTCTCCATAGAAAAGTGGAACAGAATTCTTCCTCTGTAAACCATGTGTGTTGTGAGAGGCGACTAACATGTCAGGAGTAAGGGGTTAGTAACCTCTTCTCTTGCATACATTACTAAAGTTAAAAAGAGAAACTTTCCTTTTTCTTTTTAGGTCACCCTGCCTCGGTGGGATCTAGCTGGTTTCATGAAAAATAATCAACAGAAATAATGTGTAAAAGGAAGTTGAAAGTGAACATAAATAAGAGTAAGGCAATGAGGGGGTAACAAACAAGTTAGGTAATGAAAGATTGGATATCATATTGGAGGGAGTATGGAGGAAGTGAAAGTGCTCTGATATTTGGGGGTGGGCATGTTGGCAGATGGGTATATGAAAAATAAGGTAAATTGATGAAGGAGAAAAGGTGGGTGGTGCACTGAAGTATCTGTGGAGACAAAGAACATTATCCATGGAGGCAAAGAAGGAAACGAGTGTATAGTAGAACCAATACTCTTATATGAATGTGAAGCAAGGGTAGTGCATGTTGCAGTGAGGAGGAGACAGGAGGCAGTGGAGATGTCATGTCTGAGGGCAATGTGAGGTGTAAATATTATTAAAAGAATTCATAGTTTGGAGATTAGGAGGTGGAGTAGAGTTACTAAAAGTATTATCCAGAGGGCTGATGAGGGATTGTTCAAGTGGTATGGTCATTTAGAGAGGATGGAGCAAAATAGGATAACTTGGCACGAGTATAAATCTGTGGTGAAGGGAAGGCAGGGGTTGTCCTGGGAAAGGATGAAGGTAGAGGGTAATGGAGGTTTTGTGTGCAAGGGGCTTGGATATACAGCAGGCATGTGTGAGTGCATTAGATAGGAGTGAATGGAGACAAATGGTTTCTGGGACCTGATGAGCTGCTGGAGTGTGAGCAAGGTATTATTTTGCGCACAGATTCAGGGAAACCGGTTAGCCAGACCTGAATCCTGGAGGTGGAAAAGTACAATGCCTACACTCTAGAGGGGTTTGTGATATTTGCAATTTGGAAGGACTTCTTCATAATCCCTTTAATCTGATATCCAATCTTTCCTTACCTAACTTGTTTGATACCTGAATCACCTTACTCTTACCTATGTTCACTTTCAATTTCCTTCTTTTACATTTATTTATTAATTTTGTTGCTGCATCCTGTGCTGAATTTTAACTGTTAATACAGTATAGACACTAAACAATCCTACATAAACAAATTTAACATTACAAAAATATAAAACATTTTCTAGGATAGAGAATAAGACTTAATCTTGAGCTAGAAATAGGAACAAACAAATATTAACCCCCTTACCTTCTCCCAAGTTTTGTTTCCTCCCAGATTTATTCTGTACATGCAGTTTGAAAACTCTCCATGTTGAAGACTTCCACCAAACAGGTAGAGCCAATCATTATCAACAAGAGTCAGAGTTGCATACATCAAGCCATGGGGAGTGTTGTCATGTTTAGCTTGGTTCTCCTCACTGCCACTTTGTTCTTTGCCTTCTATAAGTTGCCATTCATCCAAAGTTGTGTTGTAAAGCCAGAGTTCATTACTTACTTCTCCTGCAAATGTAAAAGCAATAATAATATAAGTAAATGTAATGGCTATTACATAAGGTTTACTGTGACTTTAGAATTTAAACTATAAAAACCTTCATTTCACTTCAAGTTTGGGCAAGGATCTCATAAATGTACTAATTTGCTTTGGCCTATAAAAGCACTATAATAATTATTATAATCATGGGGGAGCACTAAACCCGTAGGATTATACAGCGCATGAGGGGGGCGATGGGAGGCATTCAGGCTCAATTCAGAGAACTGGAGTGCAGATCCAATTCCCTGGATCAAGAGCCCCTCACCAGCATCAAGGAACCTCCCTTGAGGGGCCTATAAAAGCAATAATTATGAAAAGTAAAGACCTGCCATTTCCTTTCCTTTTACTCCATAGTAGAGTATGCTGCATATTCCATAGTGGAGTATGCAGCACTAGTATGGAAGCTTCACTTGAAAAAAAAAAATGTTAAGAAACTGGAAAAAGTGCAGAAGTATGCAACAAGATTTGTTCTGAGCTAAGAGGTATGAGAAACTATCAGAATTGGCCTTAATGACATTTTGAGGACAGAAGAACCATGGGAAGCATGATAACAGCATACAAAATACTCAGGGGAATTGGTAAGTTAGAGATATGCTGTTTGAGAGGCAAGAAATGGGAACTCAGGAGCGCAGTTTGAAGTTAAAAGCACAGATGAACCAAAGGGATGTTAGGCAGTATTTCTCCAGTCTCTGAGTGGTCAGAAAATTGAATGATCTTGGTAAGGAAGTGGTGGAGACAAGCTCCATACATAGTTTTAAGAACAGGTATGATAGGGCCCACATGGCTAAGAGGGAATGAATCTTAAAATTGGTAAGTTAAGAGAAAAGGCCAGGATCTGAGAATCAGCCCCTGCAACCACATATAGGCAAGCTCGTACACATGTACATGCACACACACTCATAATCTATCTCTTCTCACTTTCCCTCTCTCACTTTCTCTCTAGAAAATTCTAAATGCATGTTAATACCTACCTTTAATATTATGTATTTCATACCTGCACTACATTCACTTAGCTCCTTTTACATTCACAATTTTATCAATTTTTTTTTTTTTTTTTTTTTTTTTTGCAAAGCCCCATGAATACCCTAGAAATGTTTGTTATTTTTCAATCTACTCTCTCTCTCTCTCTCTCTCTCTCTGCATACCAAGTAGTGAAGAAATCATGAAATGAACTACACACCCATGATAAAGCTACTATAGACTTCCTTCGCTCAATAAGATTTCTATCTTTCATCTATTTACCCTCTGTCACACAAAACAACACAGGACCCCACCAAAGTCCACTTTTATTTATCATTACCTGAAATTAGCCTTCCACCAAAGAGAACAAAATGTTGGTCATATTTCTCCATAACATGGCCATATCTGGGACCTGGATTTACTGCCCGGGTGTTATGGTTAGCTGGGATGGAACTTATCTCTTCACTGGGTCTGATCATGCGACGAGTTCTTGGAGCCTCCCCAGCAAGGCTCTTGCGTTTGACACTAACAGTGTTGTTGCTGTTGACCGAGAAAGTTAAGTTTCTTAGTAGAGAACTGTTCATCACCTGATACTCCGTTATTCCTTTTAGTCGTGCAGTGCGTTGGGAGTTCAGACGTCTGCTGAGATGACTCTGGCTGGCTGGGTCACTTACATTGACCCAAACACTTGTGCCAAAGTCATAGATGAGCAGATCCCCCAAAATATTATTTAGGTTATACCCTCCATAAACATACAAGCGATCTAAATGAGGCAAGTATACACTAGCATGACTTGTTCTGTCATTTAGTGGCGGTCCTCCTCGCCAAAGCCAATGCCATGTACCTCCTTCTGAGTCATATGCACTTAGAGAGCAACCATCACCAAAATATCCCTCATTACAGAGACAATACGGTGCAGGTTTAATCTCCCAAAGGGTTGGCAAAGGTTTATAACAGTGTCCACGGTTGTGCGCCATTCCACAATTTTCTGGACAGTGCTGACGCTGACAGCCATCACCAGTGTACAGTTCATCACAGATGCATTTGTAATTTTCACAGAGTCCATGCGACGAACAGTTGAGAGGGCAATCTGTGGGGTACCAACATGAATAAAAATCAAGACTACACGCCAATGAAGTGCAAAGTGCTATGAATGCTAAGTTTTAGTAAATAACAGAAATTAACAAAAAGTTGCTCAACACCAAAAACATTTATATCCATTAGAAATTAAGCAACTCAGAATTTAATTTAAAATATTGGTTTACAATAAATACTTGACACAAATGTAATGTATTTATTGTATCTTTGGGGATACCCAATAAACTCTTAAGCTACAATGAAAGCACACTCTGGTTTATTCAAAGAAATTCTTTATTATGAATAGTAAAAATTAATTTATAGTGTAGATAGTGTAATGGTGAGAAAAAATGTCTTTCAATATTTTCATGTCAAAGTACAGGTAAATATCATACATTTCCTTGTCATTCACAAGGATGGAATTTTCAATGAACTGGTATAAAATGTATCAAATACAATTAAGATGTTTATAATGTACTGTAATTACAAGACATTCTTTAATATAAGAAACCTTACCGGTAATAGAGTATTCAGCCACAAATCCATCCAGAGCATAGTTAGTGTCAGAATATAAAAGAATCAGCATGGCACCTGAACTTGCAGTGACCTGAGGGGGTTTGGTCTTTCCTGAAAACACTCCAAGCATAGGTGCATTGTATGTCTCTCCATCATACACATACAAGTGGTCATAGGAGCATTCAGTTTCTATGATTGTAACATTGAGTGTTATGTATTGCTCAGGTGAAGAAGCTGAAACAAATTAAATACATGTTAGGAAGATCTAGCACTAAGCTACTGGGGTAATTCTTATGAGATACAATTTAATATTTTTTTTTTTTTACACAAAAAGGAGAATTGGGCACAGAAGGTTAAGGATACCTATTCATTAATATGGTTTCTGCTCTCCAGTTTTATGATACTGTATTCCATGGGATGTAAAACCAAACTGTGGTATAGCTTACAGGGTAGAGTATACCATTACAAAATAATTTTTATCATTAATTCATTGCTAGCACACTCAGCTCACACACTGAGGTCTGGGGGCCAAGCCCCAGTACGGATGGAAACATTATTACGATTCCTTAGGACACCTGCTGTCCATGTTCACCTATCAGTAAAATAGGTACCTGGGTGATAGTTGACTGGTGTGGGTCACATCCTGGGACAAAATTGACCTAATCTGCCCAAAATGCTCTGCATAACAAGGAGTTTTCTATATAGTAGTATCTCACAGATGTCAGCTAGGCCTGTATACCTTGTACATGTACTTGTAGAAATAAAGATTATTTATTTACTGAAGAACCAAAATGAATATGATGAATATTACAGTATGCTAGTTCAAGCAGGCTGCAAACATGACCTTGGTAAAATCTTAAGTAACCTCTAATCATTAATCGTATATGACCTTATAAAGTTTATAAAAGCTTGAATTAGACAGGTAATTAGGGGTAACTGATAAATGATGCATAATAAAAGTTCTAAGCAAACTCAGTGTTATGGCTATTTAAAACAGGATGAACACACTCTATGCAAGCTGTTTTGAACTGTCAAGGTCCTATTGGATGTTTGTGTCTGGCAAGCACCAGTCAACAAAAAATAAAGTTTGACTTTCTACGACTCCGTTTCGTCCACGTTCCATTCGTAAATATATAGTACATATGAATTTTCAGTTTGTACTGGCTTTAGAATGCAAGGTATAATAAGTGAATTATGATTCCTGTGGATTGGTAACTCTGGCAAGTGCAAATCCACAAATTTGAGCTCCCTACAATTTCATTTTTTCCAAGTTGTTACACTCACAGCATTGTAGATTTTCAAATTCAAAATTAAGTCATATGTGTATATAATGCATATATTGTGTAATCACAAAACTGTGATAAACAATGTCAATGATACAAACCCATTTAGAGACAATAAAGTAAAAGATATGATGAATACCAACCCATGTGATATGCATGCAGATTTATAATAATAATAATAATTTTATTTCAAGATAAATTCTGTATTGTACTGTGTAATATGTGGAATAATTTTTTTGAAGTGTAGGGATATCCTAATTTAAGACGTATCACTTGTCGTTTTTTTGACAAATCTTACCTAACCTAACCTAACCTAACCTAACACACACACACACACACACACACAAATAAAGTTATATAGCAACATTTTAGGTAATTTACACATTATTAGGTATGATAATTGTACTGATGTATATAATAAAGTTACTAATGTTTACAAAACTATAAGCAATATAATACAAGTGTTAAAAAATTGCTTTTACATACTGAACTTATCAGTACATGGCTTCCACCTTCACTGCAAAATCAATAGAAATATACAGAAACTTATCCATAAGAACTAAAGAAACATTTGTGAATTACTAACCTCTTATAAGCCATTGACAATGTGAGGCTTCAGGGTATTTTTCAGGACCATCAGTGATGATGCCCCAGGACCCTGTCAGGACCCGCCGAGACCGATTGCAGGACCTTTCTGATGAGAAGTCCATGGTGGCTGCAGGCACCCACAGGGGCACAGCCACCAGCACCCACCATGCCCACATCCTGCCCCTGTATACCGGACTAGGACACGTAGAGAAGCTGCCCTGCAGTGTCTTGGGGTGTCTCCTCCCTCCAACACTGCCCGAGTTGACCCATCCCAATATCACCCATTCTGTACCTGATACACCAAGCCTGTCTCTAGGGGTGGCTTTATCATGCTATGCACAGTGTTAATACACCCATGACGCACCACAGGACCCGCTGACACATGAATATTATCAGTAGCAAAGTCAACACTAGCTCTATGGCACTAAGAGCTCTACCCCACAGCCACTCACGTATATGATACCAGCACAGTACTCTGTCATGTAAAACCTATATCACACAGCCAGCCATGACCCCCGCCCTCCCCCAGTATCTCTACGCATGGGAGACACAGATAAAATGTGCGGGGTGGAGGACAAAGGGGAGATAAAAGCGAGTATGAGCGTTTGTTTGTGGGGGTTTTGGTGGTGACTGGTGGGGAACACCACCTCCACCACCAGCCTGACGTCTGACGTCACACCGCTCGCTCTTTAAACCCTTCTGGGGGTTATAGATACTCGCCTATTTTTACTCGGTACTTGCCCATTTATATTCAGTACTTAAATATTTGTACTCAGTTTTCACCTATTTGTGTTTAAAGAGGTTGTTTCATCTCTGGCTCGTCTTTAACTGGTCTTTACTGAGTTCACTCTATCCTAAGGATCCCAATGGAAATAAGTCACTTTGACTTTTTTGGGTTATCCAAGGTTCCCTACACATATGCTGCTATGTATGATAATCTATGTAACTGTATTTGTGTATACCTGAATAAACTTACTTAATTAACTTTATGAGCTCTATTATACTTATTCTTAAAATTATGTATAGACCCTGATTATACCTTTCATGGAGGTGCCTAGATGCTGACGAAGTGCTCTTGATCTGAGGATTTGTAGTTAACCCTCTCCTTTCCAAGATCAAACCAGGTTACTTTCCATTTCCCAGACAATAGTATAATAAATACGTAAAACTGCACAACTGTATTACTTTAAATAGTGCTTAATTGTAATACTGTTATTTTTGTATGCTACACCACAACTACAAATTTTATTACTGTAAAACTTTAGCTACCTCACTATTGTAATATGAAAAATAATGTATAACTAAAATTTACCACTCTTCACCTGTCTAGTGTTAAGTTAACAGAGATTCAAATTCAAATTCAAATTCAAAGTTTATTTTCTATAAAGATTACAATGTTGAATTTACAGAATTTGGTTGTTGTGTGGTTTACATGTAGTTAAATAATGATTACAGAGTGTACCACTAGAACGCCTAGCATGGCTAGGCATTTCGGGCAGACTTAGTTTAATTCTTTATTTTAAAATATTACAAATTATGAGGTAAGTTGGTATTATGGCTAAGTGACTAAATACTAGTTTGTGAGTTTAGCAATGTGAATGCTTTTGTTTTGGCACAGTACATAGTTTCAGTATTGGAGTATCATAGGATTCATTATTTTAAGATTGAGATTAATATTTCTGTTTATGGTCAAATGGGTGAGTGAGTGTAAGTGTGAACCACCAGGTGGTATTCGTGTAGTTAGTTGATGGGATGTATCAGGGAGATAAGATAGACAGTATAATAACCTATGTTTTCCATTGCAGACACTGCAAGGCTCCAGGCGGCCATCAACCAAATCTTTCAATGGGCTGCAGAAAACAATATGAAGTTCACCGATGAGAAATTTTAATTACTCAGATATGGTAAACACGAGGAAATTAAAACTTCATCAGAGTACAAAACAAATTCCGGCCACAAAATAGAGCGAGAAACCAACTTCAAAGACCTGGGAGTGATCATGTCGGAGGATCTCAACTTCAAGGTTTAATATGTTTATTATGCACCCCATACCCATCCTGTGGGCGGTAGTCAAAAGATTACAGAGGTACATAATTGGTCCAGGGACTGGACTCCAAAGTTTTGATAGCTGAGCAAGTTACAGAGGTAATGAATTCACAATTTACAAAGGTAATGAACTCACAAATTACAAAGGTAATGAACTCCGGGTAGGTCTAGTCACAATCATGACAAGTTACAAAGGTATTTACAGATTACAGAGGTACGTAATGGATCCAGGGACTGGGCCCCAAAGTTTGGATGGCTGAACTAGGTACAAGGTAATGAACTCACAAGTTACAAAGGTAATGAATACTGTAAGAATGGTTACTTACGTTTATACATGGCTACAATCATGAACAAATTATAGTGTAATGAACAATTTACACTTCCACACCCGGTCACAACTGTAATGAGTTATTGGTGCAAATATTGACTTCAAGGACCATAACATTGTATCAATCGCATCTGCTAGAAAAATGACAGGATGGATAATGAGAACCTTCAAAGCTAGGGATGCCAAGCCCATGATGACACTCTTCAGCTCGCTTGTTCTATCTAGGCTGGAATATTGCTGCACACTAACAGCACCTTTCAAGGCAGGTGAAATTGCTGACCTAGAAAATGTACAGAGAACCTTCACGGGGAGAAGGATAGGTAAGAATGCAGTGTGGTAAAGGGATAAGTGGGGGGTGAAGTAAGTGACCCAACCACTTCGGTGCATATTAATAAAGGTACTCACCTAATTGTGGTTGCAGGGGTCGAGACTCAGCTCCTGGCCCCGCCTCTTCACTGATTGCTACTAGGTCCTCTCTCTCTCTGCTTCCTGAGCTTTATCATACCTCTTCTTAAAACTATGTATGGTTCCTGCCTCCACTACTTCACTTGCCAGGCTATTCCACTTCCTGACGACTCTATGACTGAAGAAATACTTCCTAACGTCCCTGTGACTCGTCTGAGTCTTCAGCTTCCAGTTGTGACCCCTTGTTCCTGTGTCCCCTCTTTGGAACATCCTATCTCTGTCCACCTTGTCTATTCCCCGCAGTATCTTGTATGTCGTTATCATGTCTCCCCTGACCCTTCTGTCCTCCAGTGTCGTCAGTCCGATTTCCCTCAACCTTTCCTCGTACGACATCCCCCTGAGCTCTGGGACTAGCCTTGTTGCAAACCTTTTTACTTTCTCTAACTTCTTGACGTGCTTGACCAGGTGTGGGTTCCAGACTGGTGCTGCATACTCCAGTATGGGCCTAACATACACAGTGTACAATGTCTTGAACGATTCCTTATTAATGTATCGGAACGCTATTCTCAGGTTTGCCAGACATCCGTATGCTGCAGCAGTTATTTGGTTGATGTGTGCCTCCGGTGACGTGCTCGGTGTTATGGTCACCCCGAGGTCTTTCTCCCTGAGTGAGGTCTGTAGTCTTTGTCCACCTAGCCTATACTTTGTCTGCGGTCTTTTTTGCCCCTCCCCAATCTTCATGACTTTGCATTTGGCAGGATTGAATTCGAGAAGCCAGTTTCTGGACCACATGTCCAGCCTGTCCAGGTCTCTTTGCAGTCCTGCCTCATCCTCATCCGATTTAATTCTTCTCATCAACTTCACATCATCGGCAAATAGGGACACTTCAGAGTCTATTCCTTCCATCATGTCGTTCGCATATATCAAAAATAGCACTGGCCCTAGAACTGACCCCTGTGGGACCCCGCTCGTCACAGGCGCCCACTGTGATACCTCTTCACGCACCATGACTCGTTGCTGCCTCCCCGTCAGGTATTCCCTGATCCATTGCAGTACCCTCCCTGTTACATGCGCCTGATCCTCCAGCTTCTGCACTAATCTCTTGTGGGGAACTGTGTCAAAGGTCTCCCTGCAGTCTAGGAAAATGCAATCAACCCACCCCTCTCTCTCTCGTGTCTTACTTCCGTTACCTTGTCATAAAACTCCAGGAGGTTTGTGATACAAGATTTGCCTTCCATAAACCCATGCTGGTTTTCATTTATAATCTTGTTCCTTTCCAGGTGTTCGACCACTCTCCTCCTGATAATCTTCTCCATGACTTTGCACACAATACATGTCAGAGACACAGGTCCATAGTTTAGCACCTCGTTTCTGTTTCCTTTCTTAAATATGGGGACTATATTTGCTGTCTTCCATTTCTCAGGTAGTTGCTCAGTTTCAAGGGATGTGTTGAAGATTGTGGTTAGAGGCACGCACAGCATCTCTGCTCCTTCTCTAAGGACCCATGGGGAGATGTCCAGTCCCATCGCCTTTGAGGTATCAAGGTCACTTAGCAGCTTCTTCACCTCCTCCTCGGTTGTTCATATGTCATCCAACACTTGGTGGTATATTCCCTCTTGATGTTCCCTTCCGTGCTCACTTCCCACAGCCCTTCCTGTCTCTACTGTAAAAACTTCCTTAAATCTCCTGTTTAGCTCCTCACATACCTCTTGGTCATTTCTTGTGAGTTCTCCCCCTTCTGTCCTTAATCTGATCACCTGGTCTTTGACTGTTGTCTTCCTCCTGATGTGGCTATACAACAGTTTCGGGTCAGTCTTGATTTTCGATGCTATGTCATTTTCATACTGTCGCTGGGCCTCCCTCCTTACCTGTGCGTACTCGTTCCTGGCTCTGCGACTGATCTCCCTATTTTCGTGTGTTCTCTGCCTTCTGTACTTTTTCCATTCTCTATTGCACTTTGTTTTTGCCTCCTTACACCGTCGGGTAACCAGGGGCTCGTTCTGGTCTTCCCGTTGTTTTCTGTTGCCCTTGGGAATAAACCTTTCCACTGCCTCCTTGCATTTTTTTGTTACATATTCCATCATTTCATTTACTGGCTTTCCTGCCATTTCTCTGTCCCACGGGACCTCCTGCAGGAAGTTCCTCAACCCTATGTACTCCCCTCTTTTATAGTCAGGCTTTCCCATTCAACTCCTGTTACTCTCTCCACTTGCAGCTCTACTAAAATATTCAAAGCACAGAACCACTTGGTCGCTAGCTCCTAGGGGACTCTCTACGTGATGTCCTCAATGTCTGAACTGCCCAGGGTGAACACAAGGTCCAATTTTGCTGTTCATCCTCCCCTCTCACTCTGGTAGTGTCCTTAACATGTTGGTGCATGAGGTTTTTCCAGCACCACGTCCATCATCTTGGCTCTCCATGTTTCGGGACCCCCATGTGGCTCCAGGTTTTCCCAGTTCTCTCCCTGTGTTGAAACCCCAAACCAGCAACTTTGCTCTGCTGGTGAGCTCTTTTTTGCCACCATCAGCAAGTTGTGTCCACCATTGCTCTGTTGCTCCCCTTCATATTCCTCTCTTGGCCTCCTGCGTTCTGTGGTGGATTATACATCACTGCAGACCACCTTGTGTTCCCCACTGAAGTGTACCTACTAGTAGTCTTTTCTCCCATCATCTATGTCTCCTTTTCTTCGAATTTCCATCTGTTTTTTACTAGCAGAGCAACCCACCTTCCCCCTCTGCCCTTCTATCTTTCCTCATTTCTGGTATCCCGGTGGAAGATTGCATCTGTTATTGTCCCATGAGTTTTGTTTTTTGTAACTGCTATGATGTCTGGGACTTCTCATTGAAATTTTTCTTGCCATTCCTCATGTTTATTCGTTATCCCTCGCATTTGTGT